AAATTTATAAAATAGGTTTTTAAAAATATTTTTTACTTAAAAAGCATATTGCTAAAATTAATTGTTAAAATTTTATTATAAAAATTAAATTTAAAAAAATTAATACAAGAAAATTTGCCTGCTCTATAGAATAAGAGATAAAATACTTCTAAAGTAATAGATAAATAAACCAAATAACAAGATATGTAGAGAAGCACATAACCAACCAAATTGCTAGAATTGTTAGAAAAAAAGAATACATATGTATACTATACTGGGCTATCTGAATTGGAAGTCAGAGAAGTTCTGTCAGTCCTAAGTAGCAGTTAGTAAGAGATAATAAAGAAGATGTTGCAATAATAGGTACTAGAATTCTAGTAAACTTAACAAGAGTAAAAATAGTATAATGTAGCAATTAAATATTTAACTCCTATAATTACAAGCAGTATTGCTACTGAAATTCTGAAATCCTACTGGAAGTTCAAAATCTTTTAGCCTTCTAGTAGTTTCAGTAGAATTTCCTACTAGAAGAATTTTTTAACTAGAACCAGCATATGATTAGCCAATAAAAATGCAAACAACATTAACCAATAAAAACACATATATTTCATGTAATTTTAATATATATTATAAGAGCTTTTCACTAGTAGTAATATTGTAGTATACAAAAATTCAGATTGATTAAATTAGCATAATCCAAAAAAAATAACTAATTAGTAAACTATTAATAACAAATTTATAATTTCTACATAGTGTTTTTTTATTTTTATAATAATATCATTAATCTGTTACAACTTATATATCACAGTTATTACTAGCATAGTTTCTTCTAAGATCTGAACCATAATGCATTACATGAGGCTCTAAGCATTGCTGTCAGAACAATAGATTAATTGGTATAAATAACAATATAATTATACATAAAAAGATAAAAGCATGCAAAAAAAAGCAGAAAGCATTCAAAAACAAAAAACTTATCTATAATTAATCATATAATCTGATTTTTGAAATTGCACTCTAAATATATTACATAATTCTCATTCTATTTTATCATTTACTGCTGGATGCCTGTAATTACTTAACAAATTATCTTTTATATTATTTTGATAATTATCTTGCTCTTTTTTTTTTCTCTAGTTTAGCAATCTCCTCATCTATTAGCATTTCCTTTTAGTCATATAGTTGATTTTCCCAATCTTCAATATTTGATAACTCATTATACAATTCAGTGTCTTCATCCATATTTATATCTAATTCAATTTGCCTATCTGTAGATTTATTTGTAGTTTTACTAATAGGTAATGCACTAGATTGGTTGAACATAGTATCACAGGTATGAATTTGTTTTTTTACTTAAGAAAAGTTAATTGAAGCATGAATTTGACTTATAGCCAATACTTATTCATTCTATTTTTTTTTAAAAAAAATATATAAGCTAATTTTAAAACAAAGAATCAAGAAAAAATCTTATATTAAGATGGCAATAGCAGTTAGTATGAAAAAATTCTATTGAACTCTACAGTCATTCTACAGATGCTGCATTAACACATATTCTGAATAAGCATATAGCCAATAGTTCTAATTTTTTAGTTAAAGAAGAAGCAAATTCTCAAAATTCTAGTACATTATTTTTAAATTGTTCATATGTTGCAAAATTAAAAGGATATTTATATTTTCTATATTCTTTTAGTTCAAATAAGATATGTGTTGATCAGCATTCAAATCATGCTTTGTAATAATAAGTAATGAATTAGGTAAAGTTTAAGTTTTCATTATTACTATTAAACTATGTAATATAAATATTTAGATATAAAAGAAAAGATAATAATAATGGCTGTTCTCATTGTTACTATCTTTGTTTAAACTGCAAAATCATATATTGGGCTAAATTATAATCTAAATACTCCTTTCACATTTTTAATATTCTACCAAAAGCTTGTAATATATTATAATATGTGCAGTATTTGACTGTAATTTGTTAAGAGCTCTACAATAAGAGAGAAATAAAAAATGTAATTGCATTATTAATTGCCAAAAATTGTTATTAAATAGAGTTGCTGTTATTGGTTATAGAAGATAAAGTTTACCTAAACTATTCGAAAGTTGGTTTGATTCTTTATTGTTAGAGTCACATGTTGATATTTTAAAGGATGATTCAAACTTAGTAGCTAAATTCTTAAAAATTTTGTTATGTAAGTTATTTAGTTAGATACTTGTTTAGATTAATATATTATAAGTACTAATCCTTAAAGCTTGACAGAATTTATTATAATCTTAAAACAATAACAATATGAATTCCAACAGGTATCACTTAGACAAATTAATATAATATATTTTGAATATATTTGTTTTTGTATATCTTGAAGCTTTCCAATAAAATATAAATAAAGCAAAGTATTAAAATAGCTATCTATTTTTATTAATTGTTTTATTGCAAGTTTAAATTCTGCAAATTCTTTAAAAATTTTTCCTATAATTAAATTGCACTAATGAGCAAAACAAAGAATAAACACTATTTCAAAATATTGTAACTATAGTCAACATCTATTGAAATGATTAGGAGAATATTGCAAATTATTATTTTGTTATATTTTATTAAAATTTCTATTTATTTATTTTTTATGTTTTATTTATTTATTTTTTATTTAATATTATTTTTTTATTTTTTTATCTAATTACCTTGTGGCAAAATATGCTAGTGCACTATCAGAGACAATTGTCAATAATTTTGTTTCTAAACTTGATACATCTTGGATCATATTCTTAATCTTAAGAATAACATTAATTATTCTCTCTCTCTTTGAACTAGTATTAATTGCTTCTCAAACCTAAACCTCTCCAGTTGATAAAATAAATAATGAACCAAAAATATGTTGTTTTAGAATATTTTTTCATTATTAAATGCCAAGATAACTCTATTTTTATCTTCTTTTAGTTTTTGCTCTTATGATTTAATATAATTTGTTCTTTTAGCTTCAAGAATATAATTGGATAATAAATACTAACTAGAAAGAATAAGTGCTAGATTCAAGAATTCAAAAAGTTTCTTAGTCTCTGTATTTGTTATTCAATTAAATACCTATTCATTTGATATCATCATCTGAAGCAACAATCATTCAAATTTCAGTCTGTCTTTTATGCTAATATCTTTGATAATGAAGTTAAACATAGTTTTAGAATTTAATACTCTTTTTCTTGGCTTTTTAATTGATGTAGACATTGTTGAAAAAACACTAAATGTTATATCACTTATGCAATTATTATCATTGTTGTTATCATCTATTTTTTTTTTTAAAAAAAAATTATTTAATACTAATTTACGAATTTTAGATATTTACAAACTACCTAATAAATCAGCACTTTTATGCTTTTTTGAAGTTTTTGGACCTTATTTGCTTCGTTATCTATTTTATTATAATATTTATAAACTGCCTCTTGAAAGCCAAGCTTGGAATAAAAATGTTTACATGTTTTTAAGTGATTTTGAACAACATTTTTCTTATTGGTAATTGGGTTTTCTAAAGTTTTTTTTCTGGCCAAGAACTTTATTACAAGCTTTATATATATAATTAGTATTATATTTGTTTGTAGTTTTTATACTAAGTACAATAATATCATTTGTAAATCTATATTTTTTGGGATCACCAGTATGCTTTTGAGCTATTTTATCTAAATTTTAATTAGAATATACCAAAATTAATACTAGTTAACAAGTAATTAGTATTATTTATAAAATGACTCTAGAGCTAAGTTCTACTCAAGAAGATCAGATTACTTTTAAATAGATAGAGAATTCTAGTTTTTCAGATAAAGATATTTGAATTTTATATTTTATTTGTTAATAATATATAAAGAATATACCAAGTTTGTTAGAAAGAAAATATAAAAATAAGATTTAATATTCTTTGGGATTATATACTTTATTGCTTACTAGATTATTTTAATTTCTTAAAGATTGTTTATTTTTTTATATGCAATGCATACAATTATATTTTTCAAATGAATTGTCTGCATTGTAAAGAAGAAATTTTTTATATTTACAGCTTAATACTTTTTTTAGCAACATGTCACTTAAGATCACATTATTGCATATAATACAATGACTAATTAAACAAGTATTGCATAATTTATATGCAATTTGGTTTTAGCTATTGATTCATATAGATTGAATATTATTATATTTTCTATAAGCACAGCACAAGCAAGACTTAAGTGTTTATTATAACTAAAACTTAACAAAGAAAGCTCATTATAAGATTAGATTTATTTTCTATTAAAATATATATTTACATTTTTTTTACATATTTCTTTTTGAATTTTACATATTTCTTTTTGAATCTATTATTATACTACTATTTTTAATTAAGGATATGTATTATATCAAAATTATGCCAATATACTGCTTTATACAACTAGCATCATAATCACAATTAGAATTTGATTTAATAACACCTTTCTAAGTAGTTGCTGACTAAAATAATCAGATTTATGAGTACTTGAAACAATGTTTAAATTTGCAAGAATATTTTAGATAAAATGTAATATAGGTCATATCATCACTTTTAATATATCATATTTTTTAAAATAAATTAAAAAGCTTATTAATAATATTAAATCTAATGACTGTTATTTTAAACTAT